GTCGCTCGCGTGCTTATTTGCATAAAGTTGAAGAATTCTGAACTTTTGTCACTTGACTCACATCGCTTGACGCCCACATTCCCACATTCCTGTCGCCAGCTCTCCATTGAAAATGAATGGGATTATGTCGCTGGCGGTGTGAACGGGGCTTTAGGAGTCAAAATAACTCCAACGCGAACATACAGAAATAACTGAGTGCACCTTTTAAAAAGAGAGCAACAGTTTGAAGTCATAAGGGGTGGGATGAAAAGAAGGGATGTGGCAGTCACACAGGCAAATGGTTTGACCCACTTTTTGTGTTAGTCGGCTGACCACGGGACATCGCGATCCGGCCATCAATAGACAAGACAAAACCAATAAAACCCATTACAAACAAGGCATTTGTTGCATCCAGTGGGGACATAATTACTGATTATAATGACTTATACTGTCTTTTTACACGTTGCGTTGCATCGCGCCGCATAAACATAAAACCATGTCTGCATTTGTGATCGGAGAAATGACAAACAACAAGCGCTACTCTACACTGCTCAAAACTCGCGTTTGAATCATCAGTGGCAAATTATTGAAATATAAAAAACTTACTTACAGCTTTGCAAAGTTGGAACTGCCCAACTTTATAGAAACAGCCTTTGTGCTACAGACACATTAGGCTACTGGTTCAGGAAACAGTCCTCATCCATCCTCCATAAAATGCACTGCACACATCTGAATATTTGGGTTGAAGTGTTCTGGAACAGTGTTGTAAATACAGTTTAACCACTGATTTCTAGTCGTGTTCTCTTTTGGAAGACCAAACAAAGTAGTTTCGCTTTCACAATGAAACACACAGCGACTCCCCAACATGACAGCGAGAATAAAAGTTACACCTTCTTTCTTTGCGTGAACATTTGGGCGGCGTTATGCAAATATTCCCACATTGTGACGTAGACATGTGGGCAGTGTTGCCAATTTAGCTACTTTGTAGCTAGATTTAACGACTTCCCTGCCCCTTTTGAGACTTTTTTTCAAAAGTTTAGGGACAAATATAGCAACTTCTTGGACAAACCTTATCTAAGTTCTCATCTTGCCCACTGATCTACATTCATCTTTATATAGATCAGTGAATTTGCCATTATGATGTCATCTAGTGACATTTAGCTACCAGTTTTAGCTACTTTCAATTGAAAGCAGTTGGCAACACTGCATGCGGGGGCGTGTTAGAACGAGCCGCGTGGCTGACTCTTAACTTTTATAAAGAATATCTCTTTGGATTTGAGACTTTAGTCTTTGCAACTTTACAGATCTTCTTTATGCACCAAGAGCTTGTAACCCTCCAAAGAGAAAGGAAAAATTGAAATCGCATCATATGACCCCTTTAACTTTATATTACAACAATCCGATTATTCATTACATAACATTAAATATAAAACTTGTAGGATCGTAACGTTGTTCTGTTTGCTATAATGATGCATATGAGATTTATACAAAAATGTTTTGTCACAATAGACTGCACAAGAAATTACTGCTGACAAAAAGCCTTGGAATAGTGTTGTTGAATTATTTAAGGCATAACAAATGCCGATGCTCTGCGCTCATCCCCCCAGTGCCCTTTCCAGGGCTATAAACCAGCCGACTCAACACAAACCTGACTGGAGCTCTTTCCGTATTAACCGAGGCTTGGAATGTAAATTGAATCGCTCGCGAAATTTGCTGCTTATTTGCATAAAGTTGAAGAATTCTGAACTTTTGTCACTTGACTCACATCGCTTGACGCCCACATTCCGTCGCTCGTGTCGCCAGCTCTCCATTGAAAATGAATGGGATTATGTCGCTGGCGGTGTGAACGGGGCTTTAGGAGTCAAAATAACTCCAACGCGAACATACAGAAATAACTGAGTGCACCTTTTAAAAAGAGAGCAACAGTTTGAAGTCATAAGGGGTGGGATGAAAAGAAGGGATGTGGCAGTCACACAGGCAAATGGTTTGACCCACTTTTTGTGTCAAGGCCCGTTCACACCAAGAACGATAACTATAAAGACAACGATATTAGCGTCCACACCAGCGAACGATATCGTCTGTTTATTCTAAGCGCATGCACGTCTGCCGCTTTAAATTCTCGAGCTCGTTACAGCAGGGTGGATTCTAATTGGCTGTCAATATTTTTATCGTTCATCAGCTGGAAAAAAATCGTTCTGAAAGTGATTCCAACGATATCGTTTCTCTGTGCCTTTATCGTTATAGTTGTGGTGTGGACTCTGCTATTCTTTAATATTGAGAACGATTTTTAGAACTATATCGTTATCTTTATAGTTATCGTCCTTGGTGTGAACGGGCCTTTAGTCAGCTGACCACGGGACATCAAACTAGACTAATGGGAACAAACTGTT